ATTAATCATGATTAATCTTAAACTTAATATAAAACTTTAAAATTTTAAACTTTTAAATATTATTTATTTATTAAATAAATAAAATAAAATAAGTCATAAGAAGACAAAAAGAAAAAAACTGTACATAATGTGTTACACATGGAGGTTTTTTTTAATATTATTTACTTAATCTTTATTTATCCAGGTAAACTGTTTGAGAACCACTTCTCATTTACAAACATGACCTGACATGAACTGAGTGCATTGCAATATACAAACCTACATATTCACCCATAGTAAAGTGATTGTAAATTTTAATTGCGATTAAAAWTTTTAATCTATGCCCATGCAGCACTAAAATTAATCAGAATGTTTCACAGCCCTAAAAACACATTTTATTATCGGGCCGTGCTGAACTCAAGTTGACTGTGAATCTTACAAACGAACAGCTGCGAGTTCTTTGATTTCCTTTGCTTGATTGCTTATCTTTTTGTCAACTTGCCAACTACAAACTCCTACAAATGAGTCATCAAGTCATCATTTATATCAAGTTGATGAATTGAATCATAGTCTTCAAGCACAGCTTTATAGTTTTTTCTTGTTTTATAAGGAACTACACGTTCAGATTTAAGATAACTGGTTAAAAATGTTGCTGAAAGGTGTCCTGTATCAATTGGTTAACCCCCTAGTAAAGGAAACCATAACATAGTTGACTGTAACATCTCTGTTGCACCACAGTGATCTGCTTTGCTTTCCTCAGGGACATCACTGAAGAAAAGCCTCTGCCGTTGGCAGTGACGGGTATAGAGTACATGAACGATGATCCGGCCATGGTAGACGTCCTGTATGCCAAAGTCAACGTAAAAGACGGATCTGACAAGTCAGTATTTCAGAGATAAAAATCAGCACATTAGTAATTAAAAGTTGTCTAAGACTTTGTATCATTGCTTTGATTATTTCTACACTGTAGGCTGCAGCTCATTGCAGACCGGCTGGTTGAGCATTTCGTCTCTGCAGGGCTGATGGTCCGAGAGTGGGACAGAGTGAAGCTGCACGGCACTGTGATGAACACTTTATTCAGGAAGGACCTCTCTGGTAAATACGCTGCATAAACACATTCAACAGCTTCAAACTGCTTTGTGTCCTGASCTGGTTTCCTGTAACTTAATATGTCATTGTCCAGTTAAAATGAATACCCTGATCTGAGCTTTTCTGTAATACTTTGTACCATGAATCTGTCCTAACATAAGTTTATTATTATTATTAGTTTATTCATTTCTTTAAAAACAACGTAAATTCAACAACAAACAAAAAAATACAAATCACAATTTAAATGAAAGGCAGCAGAAGAAGAAAAATTCTTATTATATCTGCCCCTTTTTCTCAAAAAAAATTTATATCAAAAATTATATACAGATTACAAAAAAGAAAAAATAATAAAAGGTTAAATTCTTTGAAGAACAATTCATACATGTGCATATTTCTCCAGCAAATTAACCTTTGTCATTATCTTAAACATGCATACTGATCTGGCATTTTAATGCCATCTTCCAGATTATTCCATAATTTAATTCCCTGATCTGAAGTACTCTGTTCCTTTAAACTGGTTCTAAATTTGGGTTTAACAAACATTTCTATCTCCTTGAGATTATAACAACTCTTTCTTTTAATAAAGTGTAATTGGATGTTTGAAGGTAATGTGTTTTTATGAGCCCTGTATGTGACTGATAAAATACCATAATCAACCAAACCATAGAATTTCAATAATTTTAACTGATGGAACGATGTGTTTGATGGGTGATAGTAATGGTTTCTGGTGATAATTTTTACAGCTCTTTTCTGTAAAATAAAAATAGGATTTGTAATCGTTATACATGCTTTTCCCCAAACATCAATACAGTAGATCAAGAGTGGAACAATTATTGATTATATAATATAAACGGAGCTTTATCATTAAACAAATCCTTTACTTTGTATAATACTGCAATGGATTTGGCTGTTTTTGTTCACCTAGTAACATATTCACTAATGAACTGTAGTGTTTTCATAGCCTGWCTTGCAGTAGTAATTTTGACAATAAAACAGCTTGTTTTAAAGTGTTGTATTGGACTTAAGCAAATTTTTCTATTTCAGAGTTTTAAAAGTTTGTCTTAAAGTGTTTTTGTGAAGGTTTTGCACATTAAGTTGACTTGAATTGAGATGTTTTCATTTGGTTTTGTGGCTAGAGGAGTGGAGCTTTTATGAGCKCAGTTTTTTTCTTCTTCATCTTTTTCTGTTTTAAATCCCAGCAGATTTGAGGAGTTTGGCGGCTGAGTTAACTCCTGAAACACTTTGACACATTCTTGAATTCTGTTCATGTTTTACTTGCGAGGATTATTTGTTCCATCAAGTTTTTTTTTCTTCGTTTTTTTTTTTTTCGGCATCTGAGCTTCAAACAGGGACTTTTAAACAAGAAAGTTGTGTTTCAGATGAAACACACATTATTCCACACCTGTTCTGTTCGAAGCATTGTGCTTAGCACAATGTGCTAGTTAGCTCGATATACTTTTATATTTGGCAGAGTTGCACGTTATGTGAAAATTGTAGCTTTAGAAAGACTCACGAGGGCTTGGTTGACACGATATGTTTAGAGGAAATGAATGCAGCGCAGTTCAAAATGAGTTGAASATATTTTGTTTGATAAGATAAATTATATCACGTCTGCTTTCATATAAATATTTTCCTGTTTATAGCTTCTTTCGTGCATTTTCATCATAATTTGAGCTATTTTCACCACTCWTTTATCACAAAGGTCATGTTGTTCAGGACAGCTGAGTTTTGGTTTTTGTAACTTTTCTACTTTTTTGAAATATTAAACTTTATTTACAAATTGTTCTCCATTGGAATGAATGAAAAACTCTTGAAATCCTTWATAAATATTGTGCTCTTTGACTTGCTTCATTTTAAGCTTTTAGCTGCTGTTGTACTCATTTTCGATTTTAGCCACGCATTTTAGCTTTAAAGCTATTTCCAAWTTTGGCTACTGTTTGATAATTTTAGCTTTTGTTCTGATTGTTTTAACAACTCCGTTTCAGTTTCTTTGTCAGATTTTAGTGAAGTGTCCWGACTCAGCACTCACTGTTTTCAGAAAGCGCAGTATCTGTAATAGAAATGATTAATTGAAGAAAACATTTTGTTTTTGCGACACCTATTGCACAGARGATATGAATGATGCTGGTGACTGTCAGGCCCGGACACGCTCTCCAATGTTCCCTTATTATCTTTTGGCCGGACCGGAGCTGCGGTGACGCCACACAATTACGACTAATTTGTTCAGCGAGGACTCAGGGAGGTGCTTCTGTGTTTGTCCTCGGAGCTGTGTACGTGCGCCGAACASTGTGTTTTCCCAGTACCCTGACAATGATTTCATTCAGTTTGGACATGGATGCGATCCAGCGGCCGTTCTCAAATTTGCGCCGTGGCCGACCAACAACACTGAGCAAGTGAGGGGCCCCTCCCCCTCGCTGACCATGTTTACCACGTCTCGGTGTTTTTCTCTTTTTTTATTGTCCTCCGTTTCACAAGATCCGTTTTACAAACCAAGTAACCTTGAGTCTCACTGTGGTGTGGTGGTAAAAACCGGAGCTGCAAGTAAACATGTTTATTGGTTTTCTGAGATAACTTATCTGTTTTTTTCCCTCTGCATTACATCATTCATCTTGTGTCTCTGGTGTTTTTCCAGCTGAAGATGCGTGTGGAGCAGGAAGACAAACCTCCAGTGACAGAGAGGCTTTTGATGCCAGAAGCATTTTGAAGGTTAGACAGATTCTGCTGCTTCTGCATCACATCCAAGATTTTTCTCACKGTTTAACTGCTGTTATCAAAGGTCACACAATAATTTATAATTCAGTGATTAATCTTTATGCATCTTTTACATACAATGAAGAAATTTTACTCACGTTATGCCTTGATTATGATAAAACATGCAGCAAAAAAAAAAAACCTTTCTGTACACATTACATAGATTTTCTGCTGTTTAACCTTTCCACTACATTTGTAATCTCATGAGAGCTCACCGTTTAAAATCTAAAAAATAAAAAAGAAGTTCTGAACTTAAGTTGGCGCAGCTCACGAAGCTCACTCATTCATATTAAGTATTGCGAAAAGTGTTTTGATTTCAGTCTGATATTCAGCAATTATGTTGCAGTGTGAAACAAGTGAAACCACTTGCTCCTCTTAAAGGTCAAGGCAGTCAGATTTTAAATCTCTGTGTGAAATTAGGATTTATTTTAAGACGATCCATCTCAATGGGAGTATTACATTTTGTTTTGGTCATTTATGAATATGTTCTACCTTTTTATATCGGACGTTTTAATATTTAAGTAAATACTTTTTGGCTCAAGTGTCCCAAAGGGTCATGATTGTGTGAACACTGAAACATCTGTCTTAAACCATGGTTCGTTTTTACGTTTCATAATAAAGCAAATAATCTGGTGTTTTAAAAGAAATTGTATTAAAACTAAATTAGAAAACCTACAATAGCAAAATGATATTTTGTTAGTGCACCATTTGTTACTTTCTGGCAGAACCAGAAATCATCATGGCCTGAACTCCTCCTGATGCTTTATGTTTTCACATAGCACTTCAGAAACAGCTTTTTATAGAAGAAGTCGATGCATCTTGAGAGCTCTTTTTTTTACCGTGAACAAAGTTGCTTTAGTGTTCAAATTTATGCAGCATCTGATTGTTTTCAGCCACTGCCAATATCTTTATGATCAGTTTCAGTTTTTTAGCAGTCTTCCAGCTGCTGTAAACTCATCCTCTTTGACGACTTCCATCATTTCTGGTACATATTAAAACAGAAACGATATATTTTATGGTGGATATAAATAGCTAAATCAAAAATCAAACACTGTGGATTTTTAATTAGTTAAGATTTTAAATTTTTACATTTAGATTTTGAAAACAGAAAAACAACAAATACAACACTGTTGTTATATTTTGGCAATTTTATTTTGAAACAGAAAAATGAAAGAACAGACCATGCACAGTTTGTTGTTCAAAGTTGTTGAAGAAAGAAAAAAAAGAGCTTTTTCTTGACATTTTGCAGGATTTGTTGAGCTGTAAAATCCAGTTAGAGTTTTTATGAGCAAGCTATAAAAAAAAGCTATAGAGATAAAGAAAAATAAAAAGACGTCCATGACAAATGTCATATTCAGTTTGAATTGTTGTTGGCATTTAAACTGAAAATAACACGATAGTGGACTTTTTTTCAATAATGATAATAATATTAACATTTAACACAGATCATACCAGAATATGTTTGCTTTAGTTGCCTTGAAGACACTCTGCACTACATGAAAGTTTTGAAGTGTAAACATGTATTTTTTTGTTTTCCTTTGCAGAAATTTGATTCTTTTTGTTTCGGTGAGTTTGAGCTGAACACCGTCCACCTGTCTCAGAGATATTCAACAGACTGCACTGGATATTACACAACTGCTGGGAGCATAAGCTTCTCCTGACCCTCAGAGGAGCTGAGCATATAATGAGGTGCAAAATATTAATAAAGTATTGCAGCAGTCGTTATGCACAATTTTGCCCAGTAGGTGGCAGCATAGTTTAGCTTTTTTAAAGAACTTGTTCATCATTCAGACAGTTGATTTTTTTCCTTGAGGTGAATAAAACCCATAAAATAAAAAAAAACATTTTGATGGAACAGACTAACAGGAAAAATGCTTAAATCTGTTCTGAACCCTGTTCTCATGAATACTTTTCTCCTGTTGTTGAGGATGGTACAGATGTTTCTGTAAGTTGGCCACTGAGGTGATGTTATTAAGTGAAACCTCATACAGAAGTCAGAGTTAAATAATTGATGTGTTCTTGCATCACCAGACCACTTCGCACTGTTTCCTGTTGAGAAATAAAATCTTTATCACAGAATTTTGTAGCGTGTCATGATTTCACAACCGATGAGCAGCACAGCCCTGAGTGAAAACGGTTGAAGGTGATTTTTAGACGCGTGTCATGTCGCCCTCACAACACTGAATGTCATCACAGCCCTTTATTTCACATCTCCTTTCACCTCGCTGCCTCATGAATGTGTTAATGCATCACTGATATGATTTATTACAGTCCGGGTTGTATTTTCTTTTTTAATTCCATCATTTTTCTTTTTCTTTTTTTTTAATTTGGTGCCCTTTCGTGCTCCCACTCCCGTCTGTCGATTGTGTCATTGAACAGACACACCAAACACAGAGCTGAGCCACTTGCATTTATCGTCAGAGGTTTTTTTTTTTATGCTTTTCCCCTCAGCTGGTGTCGCCCTCTGTTTAGCATGCAGGAGCGTGATCATCAGGCGGCCAAAAGTTACACCACTGAAGACTGAGGGCCCTTTTTGTTTGTTCGCTACACCATCCCGCGCTGTCCACCCTCCTCGCCTCAGCGGTGGCCTCATCATTCCCAGTTCACAGACATTATTATTATTATTATATAGGAACATGCAAATGTTGTCTTCGCCTGCTGAGGTTTCCACACATGACCGCTCAGCAGCATCGGTTTGGCATAAAATGCGTTTATTCAGACGTAACAAAAACAGACTAATTATGCACATTCGCTCTCCAGGCTGGATGCTTGTTAGTGCTTCAGAAGTGCATGTCCCACTCACGTACTGTAAACCCACTCCCATAGTAATAAAAAAAAAACAAAGGCTTTTATTAATTAATTTTTTTAAAGCAGGGTAAATACTGTTGCGCACGCAAGGAAAGAGTGCAGAAAAACAGATAATTTGCAATTTAATTAAATTCACTACGACGAGTGTGCGTTCTTGTCTCTTTTGGCAGGACCATGATTAAAGATGTGCGGCACAGATGTCCTCAGTAATGACTGCGCTGAAGACATATGAGGGATCACATGCCGTGCATAGTCAAATAGACAGAAGACATTTTTAGTTTCAGTCTGGCCATTTCAGCATTGCATGATATGGCTTAATCATCTCACAGCTGAGCAGGTGTTTATGACAGTAAAAGATTTATACAATGACAGATAAAACTTCATGAACCCCCTTGTTTAATATTCGGCTGTTTATTTTTTTTTAATAGTTGTGATTAAATCAGATTTGGCTTCTAGATGAACACTGTTTACCACTTCATTGTGGGTAGTCATAATGTTTTGACTCATCTGCGAACACGATAAAACCCATCCTGTCATCCTTGTTTGTGTGGTTGCGTGTGCAAGGCCCAAAATGTGTATTTTCTGTCCCTGACACATCTCCCAGCCTAATTAGTCACGTTTGCGTGCTTCCTGCAGCGTGAACCTCCAACTAGAACTTTAAGATCTGAAGACAAGCATACACAACTTCCCGTCAGCCTAATAAGTGGATTTTCTGGGTTTTCTTGGAGATTACAATTTTTTTTTACGTTTTAATGAGACAAAGAAGCTGGATTTTTAATTAGAACGTTAAGCTGTTTATTTGTGTGTAAATGCGGGTTTGCATGCACTGATGAGTCACAAAGGAAGTGTTTGTAGAAGAGAGATATGCTACACCCACTGAAAATGTGCTTTGGCAATGCAAACCAATTGATAAAAACTGCTTCTTTAGCTTCGTCTTTTTTAATGTGAAAGCTACAACGGTCACTCAGGTGAGCAATCACGACACATTAGAATTTGAATTAATCAAAAATTGTTTGAGATAAGTTTAATTTATCAGCATTAGCCTCTCTTTTTTTAGGGGTCACTGTGTTATATTCAGAATCATGCTGTTTAAATGTCAGTGTGGGATTTCATTCAAATCAGTTTATTTATATAGTGCCAAGTCACAACAAATGTTGTCTCAGAGTACTATAATCAATCTGAGGAAGCCAGTTTATTGTGTTGAATCTTCACTTTATCACAGTCTCCCATCCTGAGCAGCTCATTAGCGATAGTGGAATGGGAAAAACTCCCTTTTAACAGGAAGTAACCTCCAGCAGCAGACTCAGGACGGGCAGCCATCTGCCTCAACCGGCTGGGTTGGGGGACAGGAAAAGTCAGAGAAAACAAAAGTACTGGTCCAGGTGTATAGGAGAGACAAAGAAAACATGTTTTTGATTTGAATAATTACAACAAACTTGTAGAGGGGAGTGACTAACGACAGCAGCAGAGTGAGATWATGTGGTCAGTTTGTCCTCCAGCAGTAGAACTAAGGAATAAATCAGGAAACCTATGTCCTAACTGTAGGATTTATCAAAAAGGAAAGTCTTAAATCTAGACAGAGTGTCAGCCTCATGGACAGAAACTGGAAGTTAGTTCCACAAGAGCGGAGCGTGATAGCTAAAAGCTCTGCCTCCCATTCTACTTTTAGAAACTCGAGGAACCACAAGTAAACCTGCAGTCTGAGAGCGAAGTGCTCTGTTAGGAAAACATTGAACAATAAGATGTTTGATATAAGATGGAGCTTGGTTGTTGAGAGCTTTGTATGCCATAGGTAATATTTTAAATTCTATTCTGAATTTGACAGGGAGCCAGTGGAGAGAAACTGAAACTGGGGAACTTTCAACTCTTTTTAAAGCGTTTTTTTTTTTTTTTTTTTTTTTTTTTTCGTTTTTGGACACCCAGATAATAAAGAATTACAGTAGTCTAGCCTAGATGTGATAAATGCATGGGTCAGTTTTTGGGCAACATGTTTCTACTTTATTATGCAGGTGAAAGAAGTGGTTCTGGTAACACTTTTAATATGGGGGTTAAAAGAAACTTCCTGATCAAAAATAACACCAGGGTTCTTTACATTAGAACGGGAGGCTAAATTAATGCCATCCCGAGGAAGTGAAAGGCTCTGTCTTGTCTGAGTTTAGAAGCAGAAAATTAAGTCATCTAGATTTTTATGTTTTTAATATATGCCTGTAATTTAAGTGATTGAATTCATCAAGTTTCATGGATAAATAAAACTGAGTATTATCAGCATAATGAACATTTATCTCATGTTGTTTAATAACTTTATATAATATATAAATTAAAAGGGATCGGTCCAAGCACTGAACCCTGAGGAACTTTAAAACTAAACTAAACTAAGAAAGAATGAACAACTAACTTTCAGTGCATAAAAGCTTCACCTTCATAGTGAACCTTGTATTTGTTGGTCATGACTTGGAACCAGATACTAAAGCAGACCTTCAAAGATCCTGAGGAGTCCATATCTTGATAGGTCAGGATTATGAATGGTTATAATGATGTAATTTATATCTACTATAGTTTTTTTAAATGGTCTTTTGCCAAAAGAGACCGCAAATTCCGTAGTTTCTCTTGTTTTTCTTCTATTTGCAGTAAATCTTGTAGCTTTCATATGCTGCATGTATCCCTCCACCTCTGTCACCATACTATTTAAATTTCATACCAACTACGCTGTCACATATAGGTATGACAACAGTGATGGACTGTCAGGGCTGGAGTATTGCAAATGTCTAATCTGTGAATCCAGCAAGAAGGCAGGTGATTCCTGCAGCGGCTACTTATCAGTCAGAGAGCTGGAGGGCGTCTGCAGCTGTCCACATCTGTTTACTGCTGCAGATATCTGCACAGAGGCACAACGCTTAGTGTTACCCAGGAGTGGTAAACCCAGTTGAAAAAGACTTCTTCAGTCTGAGGAGTTACACGTAAGCTCAGTCTTATAACCCATGCTTCCACTTAAGCCCCATCTTCATTGTCAAGTCTCACTGTACTCGGTTCTGCTCAGGTGTGTGTCCCTCACTCTGTCGGCATGATTGTGGGTGGATAGTCGGCATGCGGCTTCAGTCGTACCAAATAAAAGCCATTGTGGTTTTATCGTCCAATAGTCAGACTTTTTTTTTGTCTTGGCACTGTGCTTGGGTGGCCAGTTTGTCTCAGAATATCTGCTTATTTGAAACTGCTCCATCCAGCTCAAGCTGTATGTGCTCGTCTCCTTCACCACTCTAAAAGAAGAGTTTGCTGAAGGAGTTTGCAAGTTCTGCCTCGGTTCAGCCAATCCACGGACAGAAGTCTGCTGATGTCAAAATTATAAGCACGCAATCCTCGATTGTACCTGCTTAGAACCACTGCTGAGGTGGTTCTGAAGGCACGGTTGGAACCAGAAATTGAGACACATTTGGTCAAAGCTAAATCGAGGAGGACCGCATATGGGCACACCCATGGAGAAGGGGTTTTAAACCGTGTGGTGGGCCACATTTGGCCCGCGGGCCTTAAGTTGACTTGTGGTTTAAACAGTGAGACTGCAGTTAGTGTTTAATTTACGTCACATGAGAAGTTTAAGGCAGTGAGAATTTTTTCAGTCATTTTAATAGAAAAATCTGTATATTCTAAAGGCAATTGGACATCTTCAGTGTGCAGAAGCTTAGATTCACATCTGTGAAACCTGATCTTATTTTTAAACACACCCTAACTTCTTCTTGATGTCTTATTGTGAAGTTAAACGCTCCGATCCAACACTTACAGTCACCACTGACAGTGCAAGTAAGGATGGGGATTCATATTTGTTAAAATGACCAACCTTGTAAAGAACATTCTGCTCCTTCAGTAGCAGTAACAGTTTTAGACTGCAGTGTTCTCATTTCCAGCAAGGAAGCTATAAAAAAAAGAAGTTCAGGACTTACTGAGAAAAAGAGGCAATGCACTTGAGAGTCCAAGATGKTTTTTTTTTTCACGTTAGATGTATTTTTCTTTTTACCAGGCAACAAGATTTGATAGTGTTCTCTGGTTTGTGGTTCTCAGTTAAAGCAAAGAAAGTAAAAACGGTCTTTTTAAGCATGTTGTTTATGCATTCATTCCCTTAAAATCAACAGTTGACTATAAGTGAATCCTGCCTGATTGTTGTATTTGTTTACTCCAAAAATGAAAACGTTAGCAATTTTTAATGACCACTATGTCAGTTAGAGGCATCAGAACTGTACAGTCACACTGACTTTACCAGCGTTTCTCCTACTGTAGTAAAC